TTATACAAAATTGACTCTTGTGAGCTTAAGCAATGTTATAATGTTTTACCTCCTCAAAAATATACCTGGAGTTGTGTTTTGTTTCATTCACAAATGTTTGAGTAACCCTTTATTATTAGTCTGTCTACATCTCCAAAGCTCTAAATGCTAATTCCAACTTGTGCTGTCATGTAGAGGTGGTTTTCAAGTTAACAGCTACCTTTTACCTTTAGTTCAGTAAGGATGGGCAACACCAGGTCTGAAATCTATCTATTAACGCAAGGAACGTCTGTCTGTGTCTCCTCCTGTTTGTTTGTTTGAGTGTTCCATGCATAATTCTCGAACCACTCATATGACTGATCTCAAATTCGGAGAGTGTCATCCTAATGATATGAGCGTGTGCAGTGCCAAGTTTCATGTCGTTAGAGCAAAACATGCCATAGATCTTTTAAAATTAGTGATATATTTTAAATAAACAACTTTTGGAATCGCGGACACCACGGATCACATGACGCAGGTCACATCCATAGACTGTATATATGAGTGGACATAGCTAAAGCACTAGCCGCCATGTGTCAAATAGGAAGTGCACTAGGAGGCTCTTCAGGCTCCTTCTGACCCTGGCTCCAATTGACTTAGGCTACGTTCAGAGTGCAGCCTGAAGTGACCCAAATCCGATTTTTTGGCCCCTATGTGACCTGTATCTGATCTTTTAATGACAGTCTGAACGACACATATCAGATCTTTTCAAATGTGACCCAGGCCACTTGGATATGTGGTCCTGAAACTGATACATATCCGATCTTTTGACATGCGACTTCAGTCTGAACGGCCAAAGTACATTCATCTGACCTACACGTTATCAACAAGCCACAAACGTCACTATTCTGCACTGAAGTAAGTGAAAATTGTTAATGAACTCCGTGTCACTGAAGCTAAGCACATCGCCACTCACCACTCTTGGCTCCGTCTCCACATCCACACGTTCTTTTCAACGGACGTTGCTGCCGCTGTCCCACAAAACGCCACGGCCAAAAACATCATCCTTCTCCTTCTCAGTCTCCTCCTTAAAACAAGTAAGCTGTACATGTTCTGGCTCCAGTACAAGAGGAACTTTAAAATCGCCAAGTGCTCAATGCTCGCGTCCATGTTTGGACAACTTCCGTAAACACAGGGCACGCTCGCTGTGGATGACGTCATCGTGTCCTCCATTGTGCATGCGGGACACTTTCGGGCCGTTTAACGTTCACACAGGGGATCACATACAAGTCGCATTTAATTGGAAATGTGAACAACCTCGCAAAAACATCAGACTTCACAAAAAAATCGGAATTGAGCATTAAGCCCTGCAATCTGAATGTAGCCTTCTATTAGGATCTTGTGGCTCCTATCTCTTTAACTACTACAGTGAGCCTCGTCATTTTGGTCTTAAAATGTTCGTATTTTCACTCTACATGATCCTGAATTTGTTTTTTGCTATTTTGTCCATCAAAAAAATCCTATTCATAACATAGAATCTGGCTCCAGATTCGCTCCTGTAACAGTGGGCATCACGAGCCTCATTTGACTGGCGCTGAACGTTATGGGTGACGTCACACTCACTTAGTTCACCACGGGGAAGTGTAGCCGGCGAATCCTTACGTCTTCTACAGGCTGTGCACTAGTTATCTTAAATTATAGTGAAGGCGCATGTATTACCACATGGCATGACAAGGTGGAACGGAGTGTTTTCTGTTTGAGAAAAGAACTGTAAATGCAGCATTTTTGCAGGATTTCTATGTTAAACTTGTGCGAATGAAACAAACCACAACTCCAGGTATGTTTGTGATCAGGAAACAACATTGTAACATAGATCAGAAGAAAACACAATATTACAGTCTATGCTGCGTACAGTGGCAGGTCTATAATCAGATGGAGTGAAAGAAGGAAGGAAGAGATAGAGGGTAACCTTTAATGAACTTAGAGGTGCTTAAGGCAATGTTAAAAGATGGAGAGAGGGGGTAGCAGAGATAACGGCGTGCATGGGGTGCATGGGACTCGGGGCGAAAAGGTGGACTTCCCCGGGTGTCCAATCTGTGCAGTGGGTGAGGATGTGCCACCAGCCATGTTCGGGACGGATTACTTTTAAATGACTGCGAGCCAACCACATGCTCGAAAGTATGGTGTGATGACAGAGGAGAGGTGAGGGAAGGGTACAGGACGAGAGGGCAGGAGTGCGTGTATGATATGTTGTATACAGGTGGGGGATACTGGCAAAGATGATTGTCAATATTTCTTTTTGATTACCTGATTAAAAAAAAAAGAAGCAGTCTGTCAGAAATGTGTGAAAAAGTACCAAACGAGCCTCAGTTCTATATTATAATGTTGTTTGCATATTACAAAAATAGTCAGAGTTGTGTTTTGTATTATTCACATACAAACCGTCTGACCTTAGATTTCGTTCGCTCGACGGTTACTTTTTATCGTTTAACCAACTGCTGCTATTTGATCGTGACATATGTAATGCACCACTAACAGGGTGAACTGGTATATTAAGCTTTTTCTAAATCCTGTACGAAGAAGGGCAATAACGTCTTTCCCCTTGATAAAACTCACCAAACATTCTCTTTGTTCCGGCTTTAAATCCTTGATCTAGAGAATCATTGACAACACTGAATATATCACTCTTCGCTGATTGGCTGGTGCCTGAACTTGCACTTCCTGGGTTTTTGCGAACCGTCTATTGTATTTTGATTCCTGACCTAGTCGATGGAGAGAAATGGAATCGAGTGGAGGCACTAGGTGGCTACACAAACCCCGCATACTTAGGCCGAATTCTTTTCTCAAACTGGACACACTCAAGTTGATTCACTGTGTTTTTAAATGGCAGACACCTTCACTAGAATCTTTTGGATAATTTCAGACCTGGAATTGCCAATCTCTACTGAACTAAAGTCAAAAAGCAGCTGTGTAACTACCACTTGATGACATAACAAGGTGGGATAGGGCATTTTAGCTTTGGAGATGTAGACAGACTAATAATAAAGGGCTATTGAAACGTGTGTGAATGAAACAAAACACAATTACAGGTATGTTTTTGAAAAAGTAACGACATTCCAACATGGTTAAAAGCTTGCAAGAGTCAGTTTTGCAATAAATTAATCAATCAGTCAATATCAGTAGCTATGAGGACACGTCTCCAGATCTGGGGCAAGAGTCTTTATCGTCAGGAATGCGTAGCTGGAGAATTAGCCCGCTAATTGTTCACAGTGGAGTGAGCCTTGTAGGCATTAGCTTCTAACATACACATTTACACACATTTTTTTTTCTATGCTAAAGATAAGTTTTCATTTTAAGTTTCAAGGGAAAAAAAGTAATACCATCATAAAATGTTGCACTAAAGTAGTTGTGAAAATGCTCAACTAAATGTAAGGCAATTTTGAAAGCAACTAAAAACTAGAACTAACAGCTGAAGGAAATCTTTGTGTCTACAGTGAAAAATGAATGGGGCCGAACAGGAGGAAAACAAGGTGGAAAGGGTCTCCATAAGGTATGAAGAGAGGCCATTGAACTGCTGTAATGAACTTAAATGGGCACAAATTACGCTAATTGCCTAATATTTCATTTTAAATAACATGTAATTCTGGGAGATAATAGTCAGATAAAATAGAGTTTGAGATCTGGAAGTGTTTTCCCGTGTTTCAGTTCACAAGGGCAGCTTTTGTAAGACCATTTTCAAAGAGAGCCGTTTGCAGATGAAATTGCAGATAAGTGTTTTGCCCAAGATTGGAATCTGAGCTATGGTCATGTGAATATAACCTTATATACAGACAGGTTTAGGGTAAAAAGTTCAGTCTTCGTTGGAGAGAAAGTTCACATTTGGGACATTAATTAGATACAGTGTTGAATGTTAATGATATGGAACAAAAACGTAGCGACACACTCGAAGGAGGTGGTGGCGAGCTGAGAATGACTGGTCCTAGTGTATGAACAGTGAATGACTAGAGTTTGTAATGTAGAATATGAAGCTTGGATTTTGCTCACAAACATCTACTGCTGGCTACGTTTGCTTGGCAGCTGTTAAGTTTTTAACAATTTTGATAAGCCCATGATGTGACTGCTGAACTGAACCAAAATAATGTGAATTGAATGTGTTATAAGAATATAAAAAGCATTATCAAATATGCAAATACATGTCAACAAAAACATTTTCTTTTGGTCTCTGTCAACCCACTTGAAAGAGATGGAGATGGCTATTCTTAAATAAATAAATGAATAAATAAATAACGAAATAAATAAATATTAGTGCTTGGTTATTAGAGGTTAACTATTGTCATTCTCATCTGCTCCAATGTCCTGACCCTATATAAATTATATATAAAACACATAGATATTGATCAATATACTAATGCTACAGTGACTTATAATAGTATTTAAATATAAATCAATGCTATAGCACATGACTAATGCAAACTTCATCTGCAGAAAACTGAAAATGGTTAAAACCTGGTAAAACTTTCCAATAACCACCATAAGCCTTTATAAAGCATGAACAGTGATGTAATTCATAATGAACAGATAGTTTTGTAAGAATGATTCGGGTTTAGTAAGTACAGAGAGAATAATCTAACCCTAAATCGTTAATTATGCAATTACTGAGCCTAAATCACTCTTAGTAAACTATTTGTTCATTATGAAAAACAGGACATAGTCTATAAACTGTCACAGTAATCTTAACAACAATGAGCATGCTAGACCAAGTACGGAGTGAATGAACAATGAACTGTAAAACCCTTTAGATTAGATTAGATTAATTAATTAGATACATTTTGTTCAAATACATGGGCAATTTTTTATTTTATTTTTTTAAGTTGAAGATTCATGCTTGGCTAATTAAAGTGTAGTTATGATGAAGTGGTACTAAATGTTATACCACAATACCTTTACTGTCTACTCTATAATGTATTCATGGAATATATTTTAAGACAATAAAACAGAACCATCACCCATAACTAGACACCATTCATTGGCCCAGTCCTCACCTGAGCAGCCAGTTCTTCTTGCCCTTCTTCTCAGCCTCCTCTGGCTCCTTCTTGTCTTTTACTTTGGGTTTGGGTGGCTTCTCTTTCTTTTTTGGTTTGTCTTTCTTCTTCTTGTCCTTCTTGTTTTTGTCATCCATTTGGTCCGCTGTTCCTGGGCGAGATGAGCTGTTTGGAGTCTCCCGGCCTGAACTGGGCTCTGACGGATCATCTACAGGGAACAGAGAGAGGAGTTGTGGAAAAATATTGTCAAAGAAAGTAGAGATTTGTGCCTTTAAAACTAAAACGAGTAAAACATATTATAATTTATAAACTAGCATAGTGTAGACATTGTGAAAGCTCAATAAAAAATGAATCAATTAAAAGGAGCATTATATAACTTTTCTGGTGGAAGGTCAGCCATCTGTTTGTTTCAGTGAAAAAGCATTAAACATATCCATCTCCGTGGAGACGAGCAGGTCAAGTTACAGTTGTGGAGATGTGTACAGATCTGTAGAGATACGGGCCCACTCACAGTGAGAATTCATGTCTTTTAAGATATTTTTTGCAACTGAAACATGTGTAATGAATAAATGCAATAAATGCAAGATAGGCAAGTTTGATGATATACAGAAAAAAATTTAAATTAAAATCTATGACGACAACTCAAGTGACCCTCCACCTAAAAAGTTACATAGTAGATCTTTAATTAATGGCTGTTAATACTGTGTTACTATACAATACTGTGTTACTATACTATACTATACTATACTATACTATAGGGATGGGCATTCGATGAAATTTTCTTAATCGATCGTCGGAAGAATTAACGATTGATTATCGATTAATCATTAACGTTTTTATATTAAAATGATCATCATTATTATTACTATCTGCACTACTAATCTGCATAAATAAATTCAACTTTACGACAACAGTAAAGACTCTAGAGCCACATCAATCCGTTTGACATTGTAATGTGTTTAATTCAGTTTTGCGCAACTCTCACAGAAACAAAACTTAAAACCACATCGCTAATTTGCATAAACTAAGCGAAGATAAATCTATAGCTCTTGTGCGCTGATGCGGTCAACTTCTGTCAGATTAAAAGACATGACTCAGTGGAATACAGGTTAGTGTGACCAGATTTGCGTTTGTCAAAACCAGGACACCGTACGGGGGTTGGGAGGTGGAGACTCGTCATCGACATTGCGCGACTCTCACCTGGCAAAACTTTTTCCCATTGGACACCGAAACATATGTTCCTGCTTTGCACACTGTGCACATGGCCTCACACTTGTCCCGAACGCAACGGAAAGCGTGGAATTTCTTGTACAAATCATCGTTAAATACGCATTTGTGCTTCGGTACGTTGCAGGCTGACTGAATGTTTCTGTTTGCTCGCTCCTTCTGAGTGCAGAGAGACACATGTACAGACCTGTTTGGTCACGCTACACACAGCAACCTACATTCGGTTTGTCAATTAAAATTAATGTAACCGATGAAATTCTTAATGATCAATTATCGATTAATCATGCCCATCCCTACTATACTATACTATACGATGCTGTGTTACTATTCTATACTATGTGTTACTATACTATACTATACTATACTATACTATGCTGTGTTACTATTCTATACTATGTGTTACTGTACTATACTATAACTATACTGTGTTACTACACTGTGTTACCATACTGTACTATTACTATACTATGCTGTGTTACTATTCTATACTATGTGTTACTGTACTATACTATACTATACTATACTATACTATACTATACTATACTATACTATACTATACTATACTGCGTTACTGTACTATACTATACTAAACTATACTATACTATACTGTGTTACTATACTATGTTACTATACTGTGTTACTGTACTGTACTATACCATACTATACTATGCTATGCTATGCTATTCTATGCTATAATTAATCTTGTAGCAGTAGCACTATAGGCTTAGCAGCAGTGTAAAAGCACTATCTCTCTATGTGGATGTAGTGGATGTAAAATAATTGTAGAATTGTAATTGTAGTAGAAGTACAGCTTTTTAAAAAGTACTTTCAACAATGTAGTCCAGTGGTTTAGTTGTAGTATGAATTTTGTACAGGCTACTGTTGTCACAATAGTAAAAAACAAAATTTCTATACTAAGGAATAAACACTCAACACTCTTAGACAACAGAATGTCATTTTCAACATTAAACTTTAGTACTTCTTTTTATAATACAATGTGGCCTTAATTCTGTCTACTCCCTCAGTCATCCAGGTAGGTTCCATAGCCGCATACTGATGTGTTCTTATACTTGTTCTGATACAGCTCAAGATCATTCTAAACTTATTCGGGTTTCTGTCCTGTGAATGTGACTTTTTAGTATCAATACCTGCTCATAAGTATCTGGTTTCGATATTAGTTATAGTATCATTAAGGATCTGATTTTCTTTACTTTTGACAGCCCTAGTGCAGGTAAACAATAAGAAAATAACTTGTAAGTACACCAAAGTTGTTAAAACAGAAGAAAAGTCACAGTGTATTTAACATGACAGATGAGTCCTCTTAGCCCGTGTCTAATTATTGATAAATGGATTTGTCTTTCCATAAAATGTTCAAAGTCTAAACAGAGATGGCTCATTACTCCTCAGTGACAGACAATAAACCCAGTGTGGAATAACAATGATATTCACCAAACAAAGGCACACTCGCGTACAGGCCACTAATCAGATTCAGAACAAGATCACCAAAGCAAATTAGTAACTTCAATTAGGATGTTACTGTGTAGATACTCACGTCAGGCTTAATTATAAACACTCTTTTAGTACAATTGTAATGGTGTGTGCAGTTGTCATCTGTTATTAGGACCAGAGTGCCATATGAATATTGATGAAGACAGTAATGTGAATGTTGTAGTAGTGAAAGAAGTGGTAGTAGTAGTAGTAAAATAAGAGAACTTTTATGTGGGGAAATTCCAGTGTTGCAATGCACAATTTAAGAACAGCATTAGAATAGAAATAGGCCCTGAAAATGTTAGAAAAGAGACTTAAACACAACACTGTGCAAGTATAATAAACTAAACTAAAATAACATAAAGGACAATGATGTACAGTAAGTGGCTCTGACTATTATTAACTAGTAGTAGTAGCGATGATTCAGGTCATCGAAAGTCCTTTTAGGTTTAAACCAACTTGATTTCACGATTGAAACTGATTGAGACTATATACATCCTAGAAAACAACATATCAAATGAAGCAAAAAATTATAATAAACAAGCGCAATCAGAGATAGCAACCTGGTCCCCCATGAGGCATTGATGGGTGCAGTTCATCACCACGGAAGCAGCTTATGAGGAGCCCAGCCCATATTACATGATCGTTATATCCACAATGCAATGTGTCTGTCTAGTGCCCAAGAAAATGAGAAGATGAGAATGTCTGTGTTTACTAGCATGTAAAAATGTAATTTTTCATGAGTTCCGTATATGTTAGTTATGTGAGTGTAGATCAGTGTGTTGTGTATCACCAGAAAAAGAAGAAACGGAAATTATTTTCGTTCCAATTAGAATTTTAACGGCATACACTGAAAGAGAAAGGAACTGTTATAATTAGTGATTATCTGGAAACTATTAATATTTTACTATACAAATGCATAGAATTATAAATAGATAATAATTTTTCTGAGATTTTTTATGAGCACTCCCGTTGCTCTAGCTCTATCCTTCGTGGAGTTATGACCAAAAATGCATATTTGACATTGGTTACCTTGACCTTCAAGTGACCTTGATCGGTTTCAACCTGTAACATCCAGTGTACCCCAGTTATGTGTGTGCCATCTTGTGTGATGATTGGGTGAATATTTTAGGCCGGAGATGGTTCAGAAATTGCTGAAATTGCCTATCGTTTATAATGGTGTGACCTTTCAATTGTCCCGTGTGACCTCAAATGACCTCAGATCGTCGCCAAACTTTTTTTGCGGCATCTGGGATGGGGGCTTGACTCATGTACCAAATTAGGTGACAATCAGTCCATAAATGGCGGCATTATCGTGGGTGGACAGACACACAGAGTGAATACAAAACCTGGTCAACCCTTCGGGGACCAGGTAATAAAGTAGAAGTACTAGTAGTAGTCGTAGGGCTATGCCAAAAATTGTAAAATCGATAGTGGTAGTACAGAATTGATGGTTGTAGTCCGAGTAATAGAAGTAACAGCAGAATTAAAAGTGGTTGTAGTATCAGTAGGCAATATTCATGTTGTGTATACAGCTAGCCATTTTCAAACAGTCTGCAGAAATGGTTCTCTCTGCAGTTTCTTTGAAATCTTCCATTTATCAGACACTTTTGGACTCACCCTCTTGACTTTTAATTCCCTGAAATCTTAAGTGCTCTTGTACCAACTCTATCTGCACATACAGTAGCGTGCCAAATATCTTTTCAACAGCAAATATTTCCAAAAACATAGTGATTTTGGCAATTCACATTTTGGCTGAAAGTCTGTGAAAGCACCAAGATGATACACATTTACAACATGTACGGTACTCAAAGATGGATAGGATTCAAAGCACTCTGTCAATTATCTGAAGTACTAGTAGTAAAAGTTGTACTTGCATAAAGCAGTAGTAGCAGCAGAAGAAGGACACATGTTCTCGAAAGGCAACTAATTATTTACTGATTATTTTAGTAGTTGACAAGTCAGGGATTCATTCTACAATTAGTCAATTAGCCAAATGACTATTTACATTTTTAAAATACATTTTTGATCCAATAAAAATGTAAATATGGTGACTGAAGGGCTCTTAATTTAGACTAATTGCAAATAAAATACAGTAATGATGAAAATTTAATATGCTAATGTAATAATGCTGCTGTGTTTGATATAAAAAAGGTCCTTTAGTTTGTATTTTTGAGTTTGTCTAGTCCTGATAACACTCGATACATTTGGTGCTAGAGAGGTTGCAATGAATCCATTTATAAATAATTGTGATTATTTGTGAGACAATATACTGAGACATTGAGAAATAATTGTGTAACTTTTAAAGGAAAAGATTTAAATTTGATCGTTACTTCAACCAAATAAAAACATGTTAAGTGCTTTTAAGGTACCGTATTTTCCGCAATATAGGGCACACTTAAAAGCTTGTAATTTCATTTAAAAAAAATGACTGCACACCTTATAATCCAGAGCGCCTTATATATGAATTTATTCGGGTGTCTTAGTATGACTTCAGTGAACTACAAAGCCGCACCACTTGCAGCATTACAGCTACCGTAGTCAGGAGCATCGCGCAGTAATACATACTGTGATTCCTTTTAATATCAAAATGCACCAGTCAAGAGACACGCTCACAACGGCCACTTTAAACTCAAGGATATTATAATGTTAAACTGTGAGCTGTGTGGGAGCAGTGGACAAGGCGAACACATATTAACCAAAACAGGGAGACCGCACTGAGTGACTTACGCCACGATCTGCCAATGGATCGTGGACGCCTGGGCTAAGGATCAGTATCAACTATGGTCCGAGCTTTCACCAAGACCGGAATCATCACTGAACTGCCAGGGAACAGTAACCACACTGACTCGGATAATGACGAGAGGGATGCGCCGTGCTGGACGCCGTAATCGTCCAACTGTTTAAACAATTATGACTTACTATGAATATGCCAACAATTTAGCGTCTCAGACAGTTTTTTTGTTACGCGTTACAATTGAACAAAGTTGAGAGTTACTGTGAACGCATTAAATAAAGTTTGACTGACTTATCTACTGCTGTGTTTCGTTTAATGTGCCTTATAGTCCGGTGTGGTTTATATGCGAAAAAAGTTCGAAAATAGACCATTCAATGACAGTGCACCTTTTAATCCAGAGCGCCCGATAGAGCAGAAAATACGGTAGTTCTTTATGACTGACTTAGTTAATTTAAAATTTCATTGGTAATTGGTAATTGAATAGACCATAATATTAGCTAATAATAGCTTCAACCAGTAGTCATCACACTTGTTTCTTTTATTAAGTAATTTTAAATCAATATCTAAAATGTCCAAAAAGCAACCTAATGCTCCACAGGAGTCATAGATTATAACTATAGCAGACAAAGGCACAATATGATAAACATTTTTTCTTGTGCGTTTTTGAATGGAGGTTATTGATGATGACACAAATGTGCAAATACTATCATATCTATCACAATCTAAATATTTTTTTTATTACCTTCATCATACTAGCAGCATTAACATCAATAACAGAATTAGTCAGTAGTACTCAATGATAACCTTCTCATCTTATAATTTGTAGCATAAGTAGCAGTACTTGTAGTTATAGTAGTATCACTTGATATAAGAAGTCAGGATTATAAACATGAGAGAGTCACACTCAAAGGCCTTACTCAAACGAACTTAAAACACTTGAGATGCTTGGTGTGTATTACCAGGCTCCTTTGGAGTGTGAGCGCTTTTAAAGGGGGTGACAGACGCGCTGCCCTGTGTCGCGGTGTTGACACGGCCTATTAGTCCAAAGAAGCGTGATCTGAACAGCCCCACTCATTACCCTGGTGCTGACTGATAACAGCTAGCTGCTAATAGCACGGTTGGGAATTACAGTAGTCTTGGATAAATATTTAAAAGGCCTAACGTGCACTGACTTTGACGTATCGCAGGGAAGAAAAAGAAAACTTAATGTGTGCTGACACTTTAAAAACACTGCTTTATAGAGAAATTCCTTGATATATATTTTTTAACTAATCGAATATGACAAAGCAAAATGGGATGAGCTACAGACCGCAAGCAACGTCAACAAAAAGTGTACAGCTATATTGCACTGGCAAGAACGCAGGGAGATATAAATTACACAAGTTACACAAGGCAAAACACTAAATGCTTAATTGAAAGTCAATATTAAGCTTATACTACAACTCAAGTGCTTGGCTGCTGTGTTGTTTACCATAAGCAAACAAAGCAGAGTTATAAGCACTCACATACAGATAGCTATAGCCATAAAGTGGTATAAAAGCATATCTCTTAGATTCTATGTAATTGTATTATATTCTTGAAGGGCCCGTACCAATTTTTTTGAGCTAAGTACAGATATATTGTATAAGCAAGTCTTAAGATAAAAAATATGTCCTCTATGCTGTCTGCATCTAATTATAATGTGTTAATCAGGAAATGCGTGTTAGCATTCTAGTTGCTGTTAGCTTCACCGTGACAGCAAAACTCTGCTCTGGTCTCTGAGAGCTGAGAAAAGTGCTTCATAAACTCATCATGGTGAATAATTAGGATGCTTGGACTGCGTAAGTTAAAAAAAATCTTATTGTCTCTGTGGATATGTTTTTGTTTAGCAAGGAATGTTTCACAGTAAACATTACCATCTTCAGGGGAACAAGGAGACGACAGCAACAGACCAAGTTACACCCGTAATTGAATAAATGGAAGACGGATAAGTTTAATGTCATACTGTGGAAGAAGTAATAACATCGCCATTATGATTTTGATTCAATTGCAATGAATGGTACAGCCTTAGCATGCACACAGTTTGCATACGTTATGAAAAGAATATAAAAAATATGCTAAATAAATAATAGTCTGTCTTTAATTACATTGTCCTGCCTTACCATCATCATCCTCAGGTGGTCCATCGTAGGACTTGTCTATAGCGGCTCTGAAGCTCTCGTTGCAGCCTCTTCCTCTGACCATATTTGCACGCGGCCGGTGGAAAGGAAGCAGGTCGCTCTTCCTGTTCACCTCCGACATGGCCGTCTGCAGACTCTCCAAAGAACTGGACTTCTTCAGACCCAGGGTCGGACCCAGCTCCATGGGGGTCGGAGAGGCTAGGAGGAGAAATGAACAATAATGTGTTAATTTCAGAGTTTTTAGCCTTGAATAACAGGTGGGACATGATCTGGTGCCACAAGATCTCACAAGACAAGACAGAATGGGTTAAACGCTATTCACCCCTTGGAAAGCTGTAGTTCCTACATGCAGAGGTATAATGAGAACAAAAATATTAAATAAAATAAATCAAAAATTGTTAGGCCACAATTGTCACCTGAACATTATAATTCATTTTATTTATTACAATTTATGTTAAAATCTAGTTTTGTCTTGTTCTCATGGACCCAATCTTGTGTTGTCTGATCTTTTGGGAATTTTGTCTCAGCCCACCCCTTCAGAAGATTTTCTCCATACAATGATTAGCAGACTTAGATAGTACCTACATAGTTGCAGAAGAGTTTTTTGTTCATCGTCTTTTTAAAAGTGCCCTTTCTACTTTCTTCTCTATCTTTTTTATTATAAATGATACAATTCATATTCACATTTTGCATATCCATTATTATCTGTTTTATATTGCTAAAAAATATCTCAAAACACATGCATTCGTTGTGAATTTTATCTGTGAAAAATGCTATACAAAAACAATTTTCTTCTTTAATTTAATTGTTGTTTTGACCAGGCTTTCATCTGATTCTGATATGACATCACATTCCTAAAATACTTAAATACTGTGAAATCACAATATGAATATGATATGATATCATAATCCGATATGACATCACATTCCGATATGAAATGACAGTCCAGTGTGACATCGCATTCTGATATGATCACATTAAAATATGATCATATTTCCAAATGACATCACATTCCATATGAAATAGCATTCTGATATGATATTGCATTCTGATTTGATATTATGATGTAACGTCAGTTTTTGATATGACATTACATTCTGATATGTTGTATATCAATACAACATTCACAATATTTTCAACATTTTGATCATATAGTTAAGAGTTAAAAATATAAAACTTCCCAGTCCAAAATGAATTGAATTCTTTTGGTGATTCCTTATAGTAAGTTTGGACAGTGGCAGTAGAAAAAACACATGATGCGGTTTACTGTGGTGTTGTTGAGTGTGTGATGGATGTGAGGTGTGTGTCTCCGCCACTGCATCTACATCCATCATCTAAAGTACTCTAGGTCCAGGGAAATATTACACACAGAGGGAGGGGGAGAGAGAGGGAGGGGAAGAGGAAGGGAGGGAGGGAGGGAGAGGGAGAGAGAGGAGAGAAAGGGAGAGATAGCAAGAGGGCGTTAGAAAGAAGGGGTGAGAAGTGAGAAAGGGAGATCAAGGAGGTACAGAGCGGAGACATGGGGACAGAGAGAGATAGACGGAAGTGGAGAGAGAGGGGGGAGAGAGTAAGGGGAGGGGGGTTGAGGGTGAGAGAGAGAGAGAAAGAAGAGAGAGAGAGAGATAAAAGAGGTGGAGAGAGGGGAAGAGAGAGGAAAGAGATTGAGATGGGCCCAAGAATGATGAGGACCACAGCCCAAGATGAGAAAGAGAGAGCTCTGTGGAGGTATTCACCAGAGAATAGAGCAGAGATTTTGTGGAGGAGATGAACTTTGCTGCTGAGAAATCTGGCCTCAAAACACCTCGGATGGAAAGGTCAATAAAAAGATGAAAAGACAACTGGGATATTAAAAAGTATGATTGAGTGTAAATGTTACATATAATATCTATAGTAATATTAAAGTGTGATCTACTCTGTATTTAAAAGTGCAATAACGTCTTTGTTGGAGGTTGCGCCACCAGCTGGTCTTTCTGGAGATGTAATTTTTTTGCCTTGAATGTTCCGCAGTATGACATTAAACCTCTTTATTTTGCATTTATTCAATTACAGGTGATTATAGATCTACTTAAAAAGGTGAAAAACTGTACTGTGAATGAGATCGCCGCTCTATAGATCTGATTTGTAACTAGAGCTGATGGTATCACATATTTGTATCCAGGAAGATGCGATTAGAAAAGCTTAACATTGGAACAAGTAATCAGAAAAGCTGCAAAGTCAATTTTGTATCACTCTGGGTTTGTCAAATAAAGAAAATAAAGTATTAACCTATTGCCGATCACTTTAAATTCAAACATATGAACATGATTAGAGATGCACCAATACCATACTTCTAACAGATACCAGTGTAAATAACGTATTTTCGCTCTGGATTATAAAGCGCGCCGTCACTGAATGGTCTAATTTCAAACTTTTTTCACATATAAACTGCACCGGACTATAAGACGCATTAAATGAAACACAACAGTTGGATGGGTCAGTCAAATTTTTTTTTTGGCGCATTCACGGTGACTCTCGACTTTGCTCAGTTGTGGCTAGAAGAGGCACACTGCACTCGCTTTTTCAGTTTGTTCCTCTGTTCCGTTCCTCGTCCGCATGGAGTGATGGGTGTGGCTGCGGGTGCGTGTTTGCGTGCGCTGCGGGTGGTGCGGCTTTGTAGTTTACTGAAGTTGTGCTGGGACACCCGAATGGATTCGTGTAAAGGGCGCTCTGGATTGCTGGACGCGCAGTTGTTTTTTAATGGGGTTGGAGGCTTCAGAGCATGCCCTGTAGTGTGGAAAATACAGTACTGAAAAAAAAAAGCTGGATCGAATATTTGCTTCCAAATATCAGTCCAGAAGAGATCCTGGTTGGACTACTACTTGTTGTAGTGGGTCCAGAAAGTCTCATATGTGTCATGTTTGAACTTTTATTTACACATAAGTTGTTGTGTAGTTACTTGAGCGATAATAACAGCTACATAACACAATTTGGATCAGTTAAGTCTTATTTTATGTTTGTTTAAAGATCTTTGCACTGGTATTGGCAGATACTTAAAGCTATAGTATCGGAATCTGTACTGACACTGAAAAAGCTGGATTGGTGCATCCCTAAAAAACATTGTCCCCCTTATATAACAAAACGTAGAGCAGATTTAGTCAATTCAGCGTCATTGTTGAACGCCCAATCTAACTTTTCCGACTATAGTTTCCAAAATGACTAGAGTTTATTGTATACAAGTAATGACTTAACTGCTGTATTGTGTCCTGGATTAGTCAGGCTACATCTCACTACTGCAGTAAGTAGCAGTCTAGAGTCACAAACTTGGCTCAAACTTCTGGCTGTTTCCCCCCTCCCCCTGACTCCCTCCCTCATTGGTACAGGCTGGTAATTGTTTAGGAAAACAAGTAGATAAAGTAATGCGCGCTTGCAATTTACTCTGTCACCTTAAGCGGGAAGACGACAGCGCAGGTGTGGGCTTTTGTCTGGGGAACAGCGCGGTGGCACAGAGTAATGGGAAGAGGGGGAAAGGGGAGGGGGAGGAGAGCGGGGCCGGGCGGGTTGCCAACTCAAAACACTGGTAATCCTCAAACAGACACACACGTACGTACGCACACATACGCACACGCACACACGCACGCACGGTTGGAAATGTGCGCACAAAGTCACACGCGCATTTTGGATTCCTTCCTGGCTGCTGCTTGTCGATATGATGCCACCGTGATTCATGATAGCTAAAGCTGCATCACTTTAGCTAATGATTCCCAATACTCAGAGCCTGTGTGAGAGCGGGAGAGAAAGAGAGAGAGAGAGAGAGAAAGAGAGAAAGAAAGAAAAGAGATAGGGGGAAGAGGGAGAGGGTGAAAGAGCGGGGTAGAGAGAAACACAGGTACAGAAAGGGAAGTGGGAGAGAAAGTCAGATAATAATAAAGAGAAGAGTAAAGACAGAGAAATGAGGAGAAAGAGAGAGAGAACGAGATGGAGAATATGTAGAGAGAAAGAGGGAGAGTGAAAGAGAGGGAGCAATATAGAGAGGGAGAGTGGAAGAGAGAAGAGGAAAGATACAGAAATGAAGAGAAAGAGAGAGAAAGAGATGGCAAAATGATGAGAAAGAGACAGACGGAGAATATAGAGAGAGAAAGAGGGAGAGAGAAAGAGAAGGAGAAATATAGAAAGGGGGAGTGAAAGAGAGAAGAGTAAAGACAGATGAGGTGAAAGAGAGAGGAAAAGAGAAAGACAGAAATGAAGCAGGAGAGAGATACAGAAAAGAGACAGACAAAGGTGGAAGAAGATGATGATAGAAAGGCAGAGAGCAAGAGGAAGAGAAGGAGGGAGAGAGACAGAGAGAGAGAAAGAAAGAGAGAGAGAGGGTTGATGTGACAGGCGCATCTATTTAAAGGGCCATCAGCTAAACACACACAGGCCCATACATAATGCAGAGCAGCAGTGTTGACAGGAGAAGCAGAACAACCAGCAGATTGTTTTCTCATGACAGAGTTTGATACACAGGATTTAAACAGATTGTGTTCTATTTTGTGAATGATTTGGAATACACATGTTTTAAATTATGGTGGTACAAGGAAATCAGTGTGTGCTCTCTCTGCGTGCCCTGGGTAAACAGAGAGATGTGCTGGGAAGGGCATCCATCTTAAAATATACGGTAAATTATAGAGGCGTAGCGGTAAACAAAAATCACGGTTCGGTACGTACCTCGGTTTTGAGGTCACGGTTTGGTTAATTTTTGGTACACTCGTTGTTTATTTCTGTGTTTATTAACCCAACAATTTGTTTTAACATTACACAAATAGGAAAAAATAAATGCAAAGTTCTGCTTGGTAATACTAACAAGTTAAACAAAATATTCTCAAATAAGCAACAAATGTATGAAATATTATAAAAAATAAATTCCTCGTAAACAGTAAACAGAATTTTCAACAAGTAAAGTGCAGCACTAACAGTTCCAGGATAAAGTTTCCCTCAATCTTCATATTTTGGCCAGAAAAAACAACAACAACAGATCTGCTGGCAGTTACAATGGGGGAATGTCCGCTCCGGAAGTGAGGACCTTGGCGCAACAATCGTAGTTTTGCTCAACGACTGTAGTTTTGCTCAACAACTGTAGTTTTGCTCAACGACTGTAGTTTTGCGAGGATTCACGTGGTTGGCGGGGGGGCAACTGTTGTCAAGGTGGCCGTCCTAACTGTAAAGCGCTGCGGGAAACA